AAAAAAAAAAAAAAAAAAAAAAAAAAAAAAGAAGAAGAAGAAGCAAAGTAGGGCAATTTAGCAAATGTATATATAATGAAGTTATTCTTACAGAAAAAAAGTGGCGCTCAAAACCCTACTTCAGCCGTTCTCTGTTTCCTCTTCGCTGCGGCTCTTCGAAGGCCGAATGCAGCTAGCTATTCTTCCCTTCTTCACTCTCTAGAAATCTCTGAACCAACTCTCATTCGACAAAGAAATTCCTCAATCCCTAGCTTTCTCGCTGTTTTTATCTGATTTCTCGTACTTTTCGGGTTCATTCTGTTGTGTTTGCAGGGAAGGATATCAAAATCTACCATTTGAGTTTTCTGAACCATCAATCGAGAAGGAAAATAAAAACCTAGGTTTGTTGTTTGTCTTTGGAGTATGATTCTGTGTTTCTCTTCTGCCTCTACGATTATGTGTGCGATTAGCTCACAAATCGATTGCGTCGCGGGTATAGGAATCTCGGGAATGTAACTAGTTTTACCTGAAAGCTCCGTTCTTCGTAGATAATTTAAGCTGTTTATTATGGTGCTTTTTATTCTTTTTTCCAAGTTTCTATTACGAAAATTCAATCAGGCTCGCATCTCCTGTTTTATGACATATTTTGATTTGCTTAAAATTTATCCAACCCAGGGGTCACGAAAACTCATAATTCTAGAGATAAGATTAAAGAGGGTGTTAAAGGTGCGAAAGGGGTCATAAATCTGAATTTTCTGGCGTAAGTATTTTGATCTTGCGTTGTGCACTTTTCATCATGTTGGACATGTCTGTTTCCTCTTGCTGTTTGGCATCTCAGTATTCTAATCTTACCTTATAGTGGTTTTTTTGCTCACTAAACCGACTTCAAATTCAAAACTATCTTCATGATTTCTTATAGTTTCTAGACGGCATGTTTCAGTAATAGTTCTGAAGGCTTTTATCTTTTTACCTATAGCCATATTATTATTTATTATCATTATTATTATTTTAATTTATACACTATTTTATTTATTTTTAATACACGAGAACTACTTTTTCAACTTGAGGCAAACAACTGCTTGTTTCAGGGTAGAAAATGGTGCAGTACAACTTCAAGAAGATTACCGTGGTGCCTAATGGAAAGGATTTTATTGATATTATTCTCTCTCGTACCCAGAGACAAACGCCCACAGTTGTCCACAAGGGTTATGCCATAGCTCGTTTGCGACAGTTTTATATGAGGAAAGTAAAATATACGCAGACGAACTTCCATGAAAAGCTCTCTACCATCATCGATGAATTCCCTCGGCTGGATGATATTCATCCTTTTTATGGCGATCTCCTACACGTTCTGTACAATAAAGATCATTATAAGCTTGCTCTTGGTCAGATTAACACTGCAAGGAACCTCATAAGTAAGATTGCTAAGGACTATGTGAAATTGTTAAAATATGGGGATTCACTCTACCGTTGCAAGTGTCTGAAGGTTGCTGCTCTTGGAAGGATGTGTACTGTGATCAAGAGAATTGGGCCTAGTTTGGCTTACTTAGAGCAGATTAGACAGCACATGGCAAGACTTCCATCAATTGACCCGAATACCAGAACAATTTTGATTTGTGGGTACCCTAATGTTGGTAAGAGCTCATTTATTAACAAGATTACTAGAGCTGACGTCGACGTTCAACCCTATGCATTCACAACAAAGTCGCTCTTTGTGGGTCACACTGACTATAAGTACTTGAGGTACCAAGTGATTGACACACCAGGAATTTTGGATCGGCCATTTGAAGACCGTAACATTATTGAGATGTGTAGTATTACTGCTTTGGCTCATTTGAGAGCTGCTGTTTTATTTTTTCTTGACATATCGGGGTCCTGTGGTTATACAATTGCTCAGCAGGCAGCTCTCTTTCACAGTATAAAGTCTCTGTTTATGAACAAACCATTGATTATAGTCTGCAACAAAACTGATTTGCAGCCACTGGATGGTATATCAGAGGAAGACAAGAAGTTGGTCCAGGAAATGAAGGCTGAAGCTATGAAAACTGTGATGGGTGAAGGGGATGATTCTGCAGGTGAAGGGGGGGTGTTGCTTACTATGAGCACTTTGACAGAGGAAGGTGTCATTTCTGTCAAGAATGCTGCCTGCGAGAGGTTGTTAAATCAGAGGGTAGAATTGAAGATGAAATCCAAAAGGATAAATGATTGCTTGAATCGGTTTCATGTAGCAATGCCGAAACCTCGGGACCAGAAAGAAAGACCACCTTGCATACCGGAGGCAGTGTTGGAAGCTAGGGCTAAAGAAGCTGCAGAAAAGCATGTTAAGAAAACTGAGAAGGATTTGGAAGATGAGAATGGTGGTGCTGGTGTCTATTCTGCCAGTTTGAAGAAGAATTATATATTAGCCAATGATGAATGGAAAGAAGACATCATACCTGAAATTCTAGATGGGCACAATGTTTCTGACTTCATTGATCCTGATATTTTATTTAGACTTGAAGAGTTGGAAAGGGAAGAAGGGCACAGACAAGTAGAGGAACCGGAGGACGATTTTGAGATGGACGGTGCTGAATTGACTCCTGAGGAAAAAGAAGCTTTAGCTGAAATCAGGAGAAAGAAAAGTGTGCTTATTCAACAGCATAGGATCAAGAAGAGCACTGCAGAAAGCCGACCCACTGTACCAAGGAAGTTTGATAAAGATCGGAAATACACAACAGGGAGAATGGGGAGACAGCTATCAGTTTTGGGTCTGGATCCAAGTATGGCAATTAACCGTGCACGTAGTAAGTCACGAGGGCGTAAGAGGGAGAGATCTCCTGACAGGGGAGATACCGACGGCTCTTCTGCTATGGATGTGGATGAAGAAACGCCAAATAAGAAGCTGCGTATGAGGTCCAGATCCTTATCAAGATCGAGGTCTATGTCTCGGCCACCAAGTGAGGTTGTCCCTGGCGATGGTTTCAAGGACTCAGTCCAAAAGGTGAAGGCATTAAAGATTGCAAAGAAATCAGTGAAGAAGAGGAATAAGAATGCTCGTCGTGGTGAGGCAGATAGAGTAATCCCAACATTGAAACCAAAACACTTGTATTCAGGAAAGCGTTCTACTGGAAAAACAGACAGGCGTTGATACGTTTGGGTAATTCTTATGCTCTGTGTTTCTTTACTTTGGTTTGCATTTGTTAGAATCCGAAGACTCTGAATATTGGTCTATTTACGCTTGGAGCTTGAACTGCTCTTTAGTCTGCATTTTCTTTCACTAGTTTAGCATTGTTTTTAAACGTTTAAAATTAATGATTTACAATGCAATTGAGTTTTGTAGTGTTGGATTTTATTTATGGAGAATTGGAGATTATGAAGAAGGGATGAACAAGATCTTAATGAGTACCAAGTCATATTTTGTACTGTTGGAGAACTCTGATCATTGGTCTGTCTACACTTTTTGGAGTTCGAATTGCTTTTATTGTGATCTTTGTCTTATATCATGAATCATAGGAGTTACATCTTATTTGGTAGCCTTAGTTCTTGAGATTTTTTTTTTTTTTTTGTATTTTCCATTTTGAAAGAGTCTTTGTGCAATATGGAATGATGGCTTCATTCATTCAAATCTTTGAAATGCTATATTCTTTGTGTGTGTCCTGTGTCTTACAACAGGTGTGATCTGAGTATTCAAGCGAGGAAAATAAACGATTAAACTGATAATTTGATTCAGCTTTAAAATTTTAAATTTAAATTTTTGTTATTTTAATTCACTAAAATCTTTATAAATAGTTCATATGGTTGGAATTAAATCTTTATAAAGTTCCAAACCTTTTCAAATATTAATTTTTTAATTTGAGTCAAATTTATAATTTAATCTGTAATGATTGAGAAAAACATTTTTTTTTTTTTAGCATGAAAATAACAGCTTAGCAGAAAAATGGAAGATAGGAAAGAAAAAGAATATATATATATATATATATTCCATTTTATTTACAAATAGAATGTCAATCTCATTCAGTTTCAACCCTTTTTTTTAATTATTATTTTCTGGTTTGAGTGGTGAGAGAGGAAAAAACCATTGAAGAGAGATGAGTGCGCGAAGAAGAGAGAAATTCGTAAGGAAACGGTTTCTTCTGCTTAAATGGTGAATCCGCCATTTCATTTGGTCGCCATAAGCGTTTCTTGCAGTTCTTGGTTGCAAATTCAGGTTACAGGAACCCGCATTTGCATCCGTTGAATTTTCCTCTGTTGGCGACCCACGAAACTCTCCCGCCATTGAACACTCTTTTGGTAAGCATATGAATACTTTCGAATTCGATTTTTAATTCCTCTCTCTCTCTCTCTCCATTCGATTCGAAGTGAGTCCGAGGAACTGTTGATCGGTCTTTTATTGCGATTTACTCTTGGAGATTTCCGAGGTGATTGATGAATTCAGCGGAGCTTTCCACAACTCAAAGGTAAGAAATCTTGAACTTCAAATGCGAATTATCATCTTGTTTGCGACTTTTTTGAAGTAATGGATCGATGAAAGGTTCCATCTCTCTGTGATAATTCTCTGATACTTTTTATTTTGTTTGAAGTACAATTTGGTAGCATCTGCGAATTAATTTCGCAGAAATGATTAAATTGAGAAAATTCCCTTGTCTTTTAGTCTCGATGGCTGAGATTTGGGGCTTACCAAACGAATCATCTAATGCGGCGTTTATTGTTAGCAAAACCAGCACATTTGTTTGCTTTTGTGGAACATTTTTTTTTTCTTGACTCTCCAAGAAATATCAATCAACACCTTTCCAGATATAAGTATAAAAAACTGAATTGTTGATGAACTGATGATTAATAAAAACGAGAATTATTTTCGAATTTGCTTCCCAAGCAATGCGTTCCCTTTTGCATAGCGAACAGATTGTGATTACGCAAACAAACAAAAGAAAATACATGAGAGTGAAATTAGTTTGAAAATAGCGGAGTCTCCAGGATTTGAAGACACTATCGAACACTCTTTCTAACAAATAATTTGACATTAATCTATGTGGTTCATTATTCTCGTGGATCTTGTGCAAATTTTTGTTGTGTTTTTTTTAATCTACAGGATGAGTTCTCCACGACGTCCACTACACACCTGTAGCGTTTCTTTTCTGGCCATAGCCCACGGCATCTTCTCAAGAGCCCAGAATCTTGATGGATGGTTGGGCTCGACAACAAGAAAAATGGTCCAAATAACCAAGCTTGTGAAGCCTTTGATTCTTGTCCTGCAATATCAGTGGTCATTATTCCTCTCCTTCATTGATGATCGACTATTGGCAATTTCAAACTTTGTGGAGCAGGTGTTTCCTCCTTCCAGACTCGTTTTTGATAAGATCGACGATGTTCTTCATATGGTTGAAACTTTTCCTGGAAAATTTGCTGATGCTGTTGACAAGTTACCCTGCTTCAACCAGGTGCTGTTCCTAGAGTGGGCAGTGACCCACGCCATAACTTTGCTGGAGTACATGATAACCATTTTAATGAACTTGGGGAGAGATGGTACTAGAGAGAAGGAAATTTTGGTTGATATGAACTACAATAAGAGTCGTAATGGATCCGAATCAGCAGTTAAATCCGAAGGAACCCTCTCGTGTGTTTGTGAAACACAACAAGGTGCCATGAACGGCAGTAGTAAAGAAGTTGTGAAAATGGGAAGGGAAGGGAAGGAAGATGATTGCAAAGGCACTTACAACAGAGCCATGGAAGGTAAAGAAGAATTTGGAAACAAGGAGAAGGGCAGTACCAAAAAAGTGGAAGGCAGCGAGAGTGGGAAAGCAAAAATGGAAAAAGCAGAAGGAAATGAAGGGATGAAGAGTAAAAAAGAAGAGGTAAAGGACTGTGAAGATGAAGAAGAAGAAGAGGGAAGCCATGGAAGCATACAAAAGGAAGATGATATCTTGGAATTGTTCGAGACAAGTTGGCTGATGAAACCAACCGGAAAGCCGAAAGGAAACTTGATGACACGTTCAGCTTCATTTCTTTGAACATATCACAACAATCTGACCATTTTTGCAGAACTGGGATTTGTAAGTGTTGTATCATCTTTTGTGTATATGCTGTACATATGAAATTGTTTGTGGTCTGTATATTTTTTATTTATTTTTTAAACACAAGTTTTGAAAGAACTTGAATCTTGATACATAATTAAGTTATTTTGTTTGTTATCATTGAGCATATTAGAATTTGACTTCAGTGATTCTTATGGTCTGTTTATTTTTATACAAGTTTTTATGTATATAGGATTTTGGATTATAATACATTATTGGCTAAAATGCAATTGTTATTCCTAAACTTCGTGAATTTTTAACTGAAACTCCAGACAAATGTTAATATCAATTTAACCTCTAAATTTATTCATATTAATAATAATAATAAAAATATTAATCACAAACAAAAAAGACAAAAAGTGGGCCCACCGTGGCTGTTGAATACTTTAGTTGTTTAAACTCAAAGAAAAAAACACAAAAAATGCGCCCACCGTGGGGCTCGAACCCACGACCACAAGGTTAAGAGCCTTGCGCTCTACCAACTGAGCTAGACGGGCTTGATGTGAAAATCGAACCGTTTATAAAATAAAAACTTAAATTTATAGATTAAAAAAATGGGATAACTGAAAATGGGACATTACTGGAGTTACCTTTGGTCCAATTAAAACTTTAAAAGTAACAGTATCAAAGATGAAGTCTATCACAAATGAGTTGGGGAATTAGAAGCCAAAACTCCATGAATTAATTACAGGTTGCATGTACATCTCATCTTTCAGATTAAATGAAAACCCAAAAGAAAAAAAAAATCAACTTAAATTTACAACACCAATGAGCTTCTTATCATTGGTACACTGAACAGCCTTTGGTTTTCCATAAAAAGCTGAAAGCTCTTATTGATTTTTTTCTTGAAATTGTCTTGCACAGTGGCTTTGATTCCGCCACAGGCATGGATGTCCCGCTACTCTCCGATCGCTTCGTCAGTTTCAGTGATGGTTTCCGTGTTGGTGCCGGTGTTCGTGTCGGTGTCGGTGTCCGTATCGGTGTTGGTGACGGTGACGGTGTTGGGGTCGCTGTTGGTGATGGTGTTGGGGTCGCTGTTCGTGTTGGTGTTGGTGGCTCCTGTTGTCGTTGCACCCTGAACAACATCAGAAGCTTTTGAGCCTTCTCTTTGCCTCTTGCTGTCCCATTCACAGATATCGACACCAGCCCGGGAATTACGCCTTCCTGTAGGACCATCTCACTGCACCTCTCACTCCCGTTGCAAAGAATCAAGAGACAAGCAACTGCTTGTTCCTGCTCAATGGATTTGCCATTGTCTAATATTGCTGCCAACCCACTGATGAGTTCTGGAGTAGATGCCATTTGATCTATACCTGATTCATCTGAAGCCAAATTTATGGAGATAGCTATGCACTTTTCGGTCCATGTTCGACCAAGAGGGGCAGCAAGAAGGGATTGAAGTCCCCTGATGATTCCAGAAGAAATCAGGTTGGGAATATTGGAGGGCACGGTTGAGAGATTGTAAAGTGTGTGAAGTGCATCAAGTTTGCATAGTGTTTCAGTATCAGTGTGGAGGAGTTGAGTCAAGAACGGGACTGCACAACTTGAGCCGATAATAGATTTGGCTTCTTCCAGACAGGAAACATTGAGATAAAGGGCCGTTGCAGATCCGTGGCAATCTGGGTTCATAATCATTTCTTCCAACAATGAAATCACACCTTCTGCCAGCATTATTTCCTTGTTCCTGAGAAAATATGCTTCCCGACATCATATATATAATACACTATAATTTTAGATCAAAAGGAATGCATTTGCAAAAAATAAAAAATAAACACATTTTACGACAAAAATGTAGGTCTGAATAAAGATACATAGAGTACATAACTTCAATAATTAGCATTACTGTTATCCAATTAATAAAAGGAACTTTTTTCAACTCTTAAGGATAAAAGAAAACAGTTAAACGGTCTATTTCTTTCATTGAACAATCTGAAGCATTTCAATACCCAACTCCTATTCCTTTCATTCAAGTCAGAACTGGTAAATGATGTAAAATCTATCTAGTTGTACGCATTTTCTAAATCGAGGAAGGTTTTGGAGAACTAAAATGTTGCACACCTTTTTGCGTATTGAACTGCTTGATTTTTTAATTGTTCACATAGTTTAGTTAAGAGTTATCGGAGCTCGAAATGTGAAGGGACTTATTGCTAAATAAAAGAAGCAAAAGTGAAAAACAGTGTACTACTTCACATACATGACACCTTACAAACAATTGATATGCTGTGTAATATATAGCAAAGAAAAATAGACTGTAATTGAGGCAAAAGGATTGGGAAGGCTACAAACCTGTCGTTGTTGACTGCAAGGTTGAAAAGAGCCATTGCTGCACTTTCCTGAGCCTTAACATCTTGTTCTTGCACAGCTCTCTCCAAGTAGCGTAGCAGTCCCTGGACAAATCCATTAGCTCCCATAAGAATCCTCGCCTCGTCATCATCCTTGAGCAACAGTCTTATTTGCTCCACAACTTCCAACTTTTTCCTCAAGTCAGCTTCTTCATTCAAAACTTTCAAATACTGTTCGTATCTAATAAGCATATTTGTGACGGACTCCTGGTCTTCAGCAGAGTTGTCATCCACTACATTTTCTTCGATCTCCTCGGTTGTACCCTTTTCTTCAACCAGAACAAATTGAGCATCTTTCAACTTACAAGAACCAACTGTGTCCACAGGTGACGAATTTAGAGACACTGATTCAGATAGCCTCCAGTAATTGAGGTCAAGACTATCTGGAGGCCCATCAGGAGCAGGAACTCCATTCTGTTCACACCAGTTTGCAATCAGGCCCTTAACACAGTAATTTGGCGTCAATGAAAAATGAGAAAGTTTCTGTTGAGTTTTTGGGCAGGTGTTATGCCCATCACTTAACCACTTCTCTATGCAAATCCTTTCATATGTTTGCCCGGAAGCAATTATGACCGGATCATACATAAGCTGCAATGATATAGGACACCTCAACTCATCAGGTGGAAGGGGAATCTGCTCCAATCTGAGATTTGTTGGCTTCATGTTAAAAGTACCAAGCTTTGTTAGCTGCCTTTCAAAGGCATGTCCATTTCCACCAGTTCCACTGTCCTCGAGAGAGCTCTGAACAGTGGGTGAACAGGGTCCAGAACCCTGTGAATCATTGTCATCAGATACCTCGCTTCTAAATAACTTGGAGTACTTCCTCATGAGATGCAAAAGATACGCTACAATTGATTCCTTCCTCTTGTCCTCTTCAGTGCGAGACCGATCTATTAGTTTCTTTAGTGCTCTTCTCTCTGCAAGAGCTGATCTAGAGGAGTTTATTCCAAGTTTTATAGCAGCTTGGTGAAAAGTCTCAAGCTCATTGTTGTCAACAGTGTTGCTAAATGTTCGTCCTCGTTGGAGCAATAAAATAATGTCCTCACCAACTTGCTTCTCCAAAGGGTCTAGGAAAAATTGAGTACTGTCCAGTTCCTTTATAATCTCCTGAACCTGACATACAAATGAAAAGGGTGTCAACACAGCACAATATTCAAGCAGTAATTACTAATAAGATTTACCAAAGATTATGGTACCTGATGGCCAATTGACTGTGGAACAATATCTTCAACACGTTGAAGGCTATCCTGTAGAGCACATTTTACCTTCTTAAACTTCAACAGGACAGAGTCCCCAGTTATAGCCTACAACATGCAAAAAAGATGTTAAGAACCGAAGTAGTAACAGAAAAGCTCCATGACTACTTCATCACCATCGGGTTAAAAATTAGTGCTTCTGTATGACGCTAATGGCCCTAAAACCCCCATAGAGCCAGCTACACTGATTAGGAAAAATTTAAGGGATACAATCGTTGTACTAACCAAGTAAAGTTTGCTGCTCTCTGTACAATGTAGGAGAGTATTTTTGGCTTTTTCCAGTGCCACATGCAACGAGCATAACGCCTGGATACCAGATTTGCTCCGAGGTCGTGCTTCTTCCAATGAAGGGAAAATTGATGATGCTTTACAATATATTGAAGAGAGAGCCTTGCACATTCCTCCATGTAGCTAAAACAAAGGATGAAACTAGATTACTTACCCTGTGCCATATTATCAATATTGATTGAAGCATTAACTTCTAACAAGAGCAAGCCAAAATGACTAACTTGAAAAATCATTCTACAAAATACCGAACTTTTTACCCCTTAGTCGTCTGATCACACTTCTTGAAGGCCAAATTTGTTGTGAACGTAGAAAATGGTGCAAGAAATTTCAGATCATCTTGAACCCAACACATACGACAGAATTTACATGTAACTAAATATTCAACCAAAACCAAATCGAACCAGCCAAACCACAGTACAATTACACTCAATTATTCCTGATTCCTTACAAAGTATTTATGAAACCCCACACCACTCAAGGTTAACAAAACGATAAAGATAATTCGTGAAAACAGAACAGAAGATAAAATCACGCCAGTCAGGATGTAGGAGGGTTCAAGAGTTTAAAGACTTTTGAACACAATACGACTTCAATTTAATCCATTCCACATACCTTGGCATCACGTGCTGCAAATAGACTTTCCTCAACCTCCGTAATATCCATTGTTCAAGCTCACCGTTAAATCCTATACTAAAAGGTTATGTCATCTGCGTTGCAAGATAATTATAAAACAATTTTTAGAGAAGGCAACGAAATTCTTTACAGCTAACAGACACAAAAGAAAAGAAAAATGATTATAAAAGCAAACCATTATTGCTATAGCTAACATAAGCCTCCTTTACTTCTATTCACAAGCAAATTAGAGAGCCTATGAGTCAACCTAAACCTTATTAATAATTGAAATTGAGACGCCACAAAAGACTACTTATAAGAATTGGTGGCGCGTAAAAATTGTCCTATACTACGGTGCGAGAACGAGATTCACAGAACACTAATCTGAGAATAGAACGAGAATAACAAAAAGACACAGGGTAAATAGCAACTCAATTATCCATCTAACGACGAATGATTAGGGAAACGCCGACTGATTTAGACATTTTATCAATTACCAAAGGAGACAAAAATTGAGAGACCGCGATAAAAGACAATGGACTCTGATTTAAACATATCTTCAATAAGCTCGAATTGAAGGTTCACAGACGGAATATACAGAGATAGATACGTATTGCCGA